GCTGGCAATTGATAATCATGTGAATCTAAATATCATCTTATTTATATAAGCAATAATGGCACATTACTATTGCATAATAATTAATTAATCGTCCAGATGCTTGCCTTCTTGAGTGCATTTCCTTCTTCTTTTTGTGCTGTAGAAAGATAAATATCATGCTTGGGATGTGAACAAGTGCTAAAAAATAAAATTCTAATTCCATAAATATGTGGGAGTAACAAATTGCGAAAAAAGCTTCTATAGCTGATTCCCGATTAACCCACCTTTTTTCCAAATTACTCTGGCAAAATACATAGCTTGCAAGGATCGTGTGTATACTAGTACAAATTTAGTAACATACATTCCCAAATTTGTGTCACCCAATTCGGAATTTGGAATTTGGGACTTGGCCCTATGAATTTGGGCGGCAAGTATAATTCCAATATATATTTATCAATTTTCCAAGTAATTTAATTTCTCATGGTTTATGTTTCTTTTTTCTGATGCTACTGGCCAATGTGACAATCGAAAAAATGTATTAATCATTAAGGAAGATGCTTTAATTTGATCTGTAAGGAAGCAATCAAAGCCAAGTAAATTCATTTAAGGAAATAATCCATTTCAATTAATTTTAATTATCAAATCTATTATATAGTTCTGCTGAACTTAATAAAAAAATCTTTTCCTACCTCTTCATTACTTAATGGTGATATGATGATTGAAAATAATTGGCATTTATATGAGAAAAACGTACAATCTTAATCCTTTTCCATCACATAATTCATAGTGTAATAATCTTCTTTATCTTTATACACAAATGTAAATTAAAATACACACACACACGTGTATATTGATGCATATATTTGTAATGAAATGTGTATGTACTGTATGTATTATGAATGCAAAATATTTCTCAATATAATAGCAATGATAGTGATAATAACAACTTACAGTTAAATTATATCCGATTTCGTTTTAATAGCATCAGTATATCTTGCATTTTTACACCAATTTCCATACAAATTGAAAATAAACATGTTTTCTGTATAAAGAACAATTATTCTCCAACCATTCAATAGTCTCTGTTGTTACATGGTCATTTCGAATCCTTTCGGCTCGACGCCACTCAAATTGTTAATTTGTTTTAATCTAAATTAAAATTGACCATTGTGAATGAATCTGTTATATGTCTTTTAAAAATGAATATTA